TATTAATAAAAGGGAAAATTAGTCAGAAGGCTGTAATAATTGCATAGGTACCTAACAGTTTAGCTTCAAAATAAAGCAAAAATTGACGGAAAACAAAAAGAAATGTATAAATCAAGGTAGCGGAAGATTTTAATATTCCCTTCTCAGCACTGACAGATTAAGCAGACAAAAAGTTAGCAATGATAGAGACGACTTGGACAGCTACAGTTAACACGCTGACGTGTCAGGGACATGCGCAGAACTCTGAGAGTTAACGAATACATGCTACACACGGTTTCAAGTATATATAGAATATTTTAAATAAATTAACCATGTAATATGTTACCAACCAAGTCCGAACCAACGCGTAAGAATTGTTACGCCACATACGGCATCACAATAAAACTGAAAATCAACAGCAACAACAAAAATGATCTAAGATGCTTGAAATTTTTTAAAAATACATTTCTAAGCAACCAATGATTAAAGGAGAACTCATGGACTTTTAGAACCAAATCATAATGCAAACACTAAATACCGAATCTGGAAAACAAGTGGTGTGTGGGTAAACACTTTCCAAGAGGCTCTGTGTGTGTTGGGGGTGGGGTGGGGAGCGTGGTGGGGTACAATTTGCAGCATTTGCCCATCCATAGTGCAAGTATTCCACCAGGTCTATGGCAAGCTACCAAAGTCAAGTGCGGGAATTTGAAGAAATACACAAAATCAATTCTCACAACCCAAAATGAGCTGGCTACAGTTGGTTCCAGCACACTACTGTAAACAACTGAAATATATCTTTAAATGCACACATTAAACAAAGAAGATGGGTTGGAAACGATTGTACTCTGTATGTAAATCAAAGGCTAGAAGAAGAACAGGGCAGCAGAGTAAACCCAAAGGAATCAGAAGGAAGGAAATAATAAAGATAAGAGCCGAAGTTAATAACATTACAAACAAAGACACAGTCAAGAAGAGTAACAAAAGGGAAAAATGGCTCTTTTGGAAGACAAATTAAATAGGCAAACATCTGGCTAACATGATCAAAAGAAGAGAAATTAAAGTAAAAATAAACAATACTCTGAACTGAAAGAACATAATAGAGATGAAGTAGAAAAATAAAAAATAAATGTTATAAACAATGTAACAAACATGAAAACTCAGATTAAATGGGCAATTTTCTAGAAAAACGTAACAACAAAACTGACTCAAGAAAAAATATAAAATGTGAACGTACATATTGTCATCAAAGGAACTGAATTAGTCCACGTACCCCCTGCTGCCCCCCTCAACCAATACATACAAACACAATTGCCAAGTGTGGCTGGTTTTACAGGTAAGTTTTGTCCTCAAGAAATGGATAATTTTAATATCGTAAAATTGCTTCAGAAAAGTAGAAAAAGGAAGGAATCTATCCAGCTCATTTTATGAGGCCATTAAGCCTTGAAACAAAACTGAAAAGAAAACTGTAGGCCACTTTCATATACACACAAAGAGACAAATGTAAGAAATAACATATTATTTTAAGAATCTGGCAAAGTAATTTCGTAGTTCATTGCTAAGAAAGATTCATCTAAGAATGTAGAAATGCCTTAGAAGATTGATTAATATAATCGTTATATTAACAGATTAAAGAAGAAAAATCATTTCAATAGATGCAGAAAAGACATGTAATACAATTCAACAATCATTCTTTTTTTTCCTTTTTCAGTTTCATTAGGTAGAATTATTACAGTTCGACTGCACATACACATCATATTGCATGTAAACAACAATCATTCTTGAGCACATACACATTACATTGCATGTAAACAATAATTGTATCTTCTTCCCCAAGACAAATATCCTCTCAGGTAAATTAGAAATAGGTAAGAACTCTCTCAACTTAATGAGGTATGTCTTCAAAAGCTCACTGCAAATATTGAAAGCGATAGTGTTAAAAACATCAGGATACCCCCTTATTGTACTTTCGATGTCATACTACAGGCCCTAGCTAACATAATAGGAAAAAAAAAGAAAAGGTTAAAAGACTGAAATAGCAGTCTCTATAGCAGCCTTATTCATAATGGTCCCAAATTCAAAACAACCCAATTCTATCAACATGGAGATATGGGCTAACAGGCTGTGGGATACCCAAACATTATTCAATCACAGAAGGACGGATTATGGATGCAGGCGACAAGGTAAATGAAACTTAAACCAACACTGTGCTGTGCAATAGCAGCCAGTCCCAAAATACACTGTGTGATTCCATCTATATAAAGTTCAAGGACAGGAAACACCAAATAATAGCCACAGAAGGCTGACTGTTGGCTGTCTCAGGTTGGGAGGTGGAAACTGACTGCAGGGAAGCACAAGAGAACTCTTGGAGTAATGGAAGTGTTCACTGTAAAATGATTATGAATCAATAAAAAATGTAAAAAAAAAAAAGGAAGTGTTCAGTATGTTGATTGAGGTGTTGAATATATATATATATATATATATATATTATAGCTATATATTATCTAACTGAACTAAATAATTATGACCTGTGCATTTTATTGGTTGATATTTATATCTCAATTTTAAAAAGCACAATAGACATAAAAAGCTAAGGATTAGGAGAAAGGTATAAAGTAACTAGTACAAAGAATACATGTTTATACAGAATGTCCAAGAGACTGCAAATAAATGTTAGTACTAATAAGAAAGTTCAGTAAGTTTGCTAGAAATCAATATACAAAAATCAATAGTTATTGTTAAAGAACATCATTAACCATGGCAATAAAAGCTTTTAAGGTGCCCAGAAATAAATCTAGCAAATGGGGTGTCAGATTTTTATGGAGAAAGTCACAAAACCTTATGGAAAGGGAAAAAAAATAAAGGATTTACTATATTCATGGATGGGAGGGTTCAGTATTTTAAAGACTGCAATTTTTTCCAAATTTACCTATAAATCCAATACAATTTCAATAAAAATCTCTGTAGAGTTTTTCAAAGAACTTGATAAGACTATGCTAAAAAAATTGCAAAGAAAAAAGAGGAGGAGAAGAAGGAGGAGGAAAGGGTGGTATCCTTTTGCATACTGGTACTCATTACAGAACAGGAGGAATGTGAACAGTGTGATATTGCCACAGGGAGCGGGGCGCTTAGAAACATAACCACTTAGATACGGAAATCTGAAAAATGGCAGAGACGACATTTCAAGTCACTGGGCGAAGGATAAGAGCATTCAATAAATGATGCTGGGACATCACCACAGGGGAAGACACAGGTCCAACTATTTATATGAAAGAGAGCAAAACTGGCTACTTACCTCATATCATACCCCCAAATCATCTAAACATGAAAGCAAAATTTAAAAAGAAAATATAGGAGGCTGTCTTGATGACATCTGATTACTGTCATTCCTATTTATGATGCCAAAAGCATAAACCATATTGAGAAAAGAAAATATTGAGATTATAACTGTGTCGAACTAAGAACTTCTGTGTATCAGGATGACAATGAAAAGAAAGCCAAAATAGAAAAGGAAGTCCATAGCCACTATAAGGTGTTTACAACCCATGCAACTAGCTTTATATAATTGGAATATAATAGAATTCTTTAAAAATCAAGCAAGCAAACAATACAAGCAAAAAGGAAGAACAAGTGGAAAGATGCTTCCACCTCTCTGGTAATCAAAGAAAAACTCACACTAGAATAACAATAAAGTACCATCCCATACCTATCAACTGATAAAAATCAATAATCAATAATCAATCAATAAATCCAGTAATAACTAGAATGGGTGGGGCTACTGGGAATTGAGGAGTCTTAGACAGTGCTGGCATGGCTGTAAACTGGTACAAGTACTTTGGAGAGCAATTTTGGAATAATTTAAAAAAATTGAAAGTGTGCAAAATCTACCAACCAGAAATAAGACTTCTCGATGTTTGCCACAGAGCAAAGCATGCACGAGGAAGTATATATGAAACATGGTTCATAATAGGAAAAAAAAAAGAGGAAAAAAAGAACAAATGTTATCAAATCTTATACTTTCTAAAAATACACAAATAAATCCAATGTATATTTATCATGGACGCATATTTAGAGAAAGTATAAGATCCCCAGCAACGCTAGGATAGAGGTGGTATGTGGAACACCTAGATTGCCTGGTTGGAATCCTGGCTCCTCCGGTTACCAGCGGTGTGGCCTTGGGCAAGTTGCCTAACCAATCTTTCCTCAGCCCCTCACCCACAAAATGGGGGATAAAAATAGTATTTGTGTCACATGTCTCCAGTAGGCTTTAAAGGAGCGAATGTAGGCAAAGTTCTCAGAATAGTGGCCAGCATGTCGTAGACTTGCCATGCGTATCACAAGCATCATCACTGTTGTCGTTACCCCCATGGTCAAGACAGCGGTTACTTCTGGGAAGGGAGCGGTGGGGTGGACACGAACTGATGGCTTTATCCATAAGAGAATACAGCTGTATGTAACACACGTTAAACTTGAGTTTGATAGGAGTATATGTGGCTGAGGGTACCACATACATTACTTGTCATATAACTTTCTGAACTTTGCTATATGACTCAAATCATTCATATATCAAAAGTTTTTTTAAGTAAAAAGATGAATGATCTGTGGAACATTATGGAGAAATGTTTAAACTGTCTTGTGTATTGAATGCCTGTGAGAGGAAGGTGTTGTAGGAACAGATTTTTGGACAAATGCTTGATACCTTGCTAGCTGTTAGGTAACAGGAAGTTACAAGTTAACTGTTAAAGGGAAAAGCCAGGGGAAGTGAAAAGTGATTCTTTCCAGGAACATCTGAGATCCCAAAGCAGCAGGAAAATGCACAGAAATGCAATTTCTAGGAAGGCTATAAACACAGAGCTCCTGGAAATGCCAAAGAAATACTGTTAGTTGATTTAAGTATCCAAAAAATATGTTCCCTGCGAACACTATTATAGTAACCTGCAGAACAATCATTCACGTAAAAAATGTTTATTGAGCTTCAATTATGTGTATGTTGTACATGTTTCCAGTTTGTTTTTGTTTTTTTGTTTTTGCCTAAGGCAGACTTCAGCTATTTTTTTTTAAAAAGAGAAGGAAAAGAAAGAAAAGTTTACAAATATGTGTATCACAATAAAGGGTTTTGGGAGTTATGTTCCTAGAAAGATTACCCATCAGGAAGCAGGTAGCAACAGCCACCTACAAATGGCTTCAACAAATGGGGTTTCTTGCTCTCTTTCCTAAGGAGAAGTCTGAAGGTAAGCAGTCCTCGCGTAGATTCAACTGCTGGTAGCATCCATAAGACTCAGGCCCTTTCTGCCTCTCTGCTCTGCCGTCCTGTTTATGAGGAGTGTTTCCACTCAAGGCTGTGACAAGGCGGCTGCTCAAAGGCAGAAAGCACGTTGGGTAGCAGACCTCTTGTTCATCTCCCGTTTGACCAGGGGGAAAAACCTTTCCCAGAAACCCCTCCAGAGAACTTGTCTTCCATCTCAGCGACCAGAGCGGGGTGACATGGACATTCCAAAACCGTTCATTGGCAGATGGAGTTGGGATGACCTTGACTGTTAGACCCGTGGCTAGTTTATCACCAAGGCCTTGGACATCCTCTTTTAGCATATTGCCCCTTGTATCCGCACAAAACTTGGGTTATGCTGGCAAGGAGGAAAGCCACAAAGAGGAACAAGGATGACTCTTACCTAATTGGAAAGACAAAGGCAGAAGACAGAGAAGACACAGAACCACACAGCACCCCCATGGTTCTCCCCAGAAGGACATGCTGCTCGTGGCAGACACTGCTGTCGAACCCAGTAGATACCATCCGCCTTTTCCTTGCCGGGGTACCAGGTTTGCTTGGTACTGAGCAGCAGAATGCTCTCCAGAGACTGGGCCTCTTTATGGTCTTAGGGTGACTCTTAATTAATAGCCAGCATGGTAAATCCATTCCGCTATTAGTGACCAGTATAGGAATGGAATGTGACATGAAGGGAAGTCTTCTGCAGAACTTCCAGAAAGGGATAGAAGGAAGGAGGCCCCCTCTCCAGTCCTGAAACTCTGCTGTGCGGGAAAATCTTTGCTGCAGTGATGCAGTGATCTCTCAGCCTGAAGGATGAGGGCCGGTAGCTACCATAGGGAAAATGGGTCCCAGATGTTACTGTTAAGTTGCTAAATTAATCAACCCTTTTAACCACTCAACCCCCAAACTTCTTGTAGTATGAGATAATAAATTTTCTTCTTTGTTTACGCCACTCTTGTTTGATTCTTTGTTACTTGCAGCCGCATCATCCTGATATACTCACACTGAAAAATGTAAGGCAAACAATTTGATGAGAGATTTTTGAAATCTAGATAGATAAGAAGCCAACAAGAGCACATCTAGCTGCTTTAAACTGGTTCAAATCCACGCATTCGGAATAATCAGATCTCACAATACTGCAGGAAAAACTTTGACTAAGTATTTCCTATATGTAAGGTACTTTTCTGAGCCCTGTGATGAGGCAGCAATTGAGAGAGTGCATTAATATAATATATATATTATAATATAATAATATAATATATAATATTGATATATTATATAATATATAATATATATTAATATAATATATATATATAAATATAAAATGCATAACTTTTAAATTCCAGGAGCTTATAATACATCTGGGGAGAAAGTTCAGTTGACAGTAAAAATTCTCAATTGTTCATCAGTTTTTAAAAAGTGGTTCCGTTAGTTCAAAGATAGTATCTATTATCAACCAAGTAATGAATTGTACCATCATACTATATCAAATATCAGAATCCCTGACTACACAAAAATCTCTAGTTCCTAAAGAACATTAGACACATCTTTAATTTCATAAGATCAATCCTTCTTTTGAAATAGCAACTGACATCTGAATAGATTTACTTTACCCCTGAGCAAACTGAAAATTCATAGAGAAAGACATAATGTCCAGAGCGTTTTACCGCTCATGAATAACTGTGATAGACTTGGAATTGGTGGAGTCTAGATGAATGAGTCTTCACTGCATTTGCATTTGAGTATAGTTTATCTTTAAATCTGTTGGTGAGAATAAAACAACAGCAGAGACGGAGGAGAACAAGTTGACCCGCTCACACTTGATGTAACACATTTTGGGATTTGTGGAGAGAGCGCCCCGGGCGAGCAGGATTCTAAGTGGTGGTAAGTGTGCATTTTGCCTTCCTGGGGACCCAGAGGGAGAGGAAGAGTGCTAGGCCTTGGCGGGAGGCAGCAACCTGGATATAAAATACTTCGGCTCTGAATGTGTCCACCAGAGCATAAATTTATTAAAACCCCATTTTAGACCATAAAGCAAGTGCATCAATAAAGCAGCAGCTCCCACCAGCTAAGCCAGGTTTGTTTAGTGTTTTGTCGCAGCATTTTTTTTTTTTTAATGAAAATGTGAGTGCTTTAGTAACCCTGGCTTTAAAAGAAGTACCTCAAGCAGCAGCCCCGTGGTCGGCGGCCGTAGGGTGAGCGCGCTGCGAGAGGCAGGGCGGCCGGGTCGTCGTCTCCGTGAAACCATTTCGGAGCCTTTCACCGTGGCTGCGCGCTGCATTTTCCTCTTCAGAAACCAGCAAGTGCCAACCTGGCCTGTAAACAGAAATTCTGCATTAACAGAGGGTGGTCATTTTGGCTGAATCCCAACTAAAAGAGTTTAACATTTTGTGGGTTTTGCTTATTATGTCTTTTGTGGTGTCATTTAACAACTCTTTGAGTGACAGGCTTTTCTTCCGCTGACCCTCCCTTAAACATATTCCTCCATGCCAGCTTCAGTTCTGGACCCTGTGATGTCAGACACTCTCCAGCAGGGCTCTCATTTGTTGCTATAGCTTCATTCCAGCCTACTGGAGTTCCACACACCCGGCTGCCTAGTGGAAACCTCCACCCCCAATCTCAGCAAGTCTGTCCAAAACAGAGTTCACTGTCTTCTCTCCCTCCTTCCACCAAACTTCCAGCCCTCCCTGCGTTCCCTTCTTCTCAGTGAATGGAATCACCATCTGCATCGGGGTCAAAATCACAAACATGGTGCCATATTGGAATCCCCTTTCTCCTCCACCTTCTCCACCCCATACATTCAATTCTACCTGAACCATCAAATGCTTCTGCCCATCTCCAGTGGGAACGCTTCAGTTCATGTCGCAGGTATCTCTCATCTGGATGTTATCTGGTATCCTATCGCTCTTTGCTTGAATAGTCCCCTAACTGGTTTTCCTGTCCCAATTCTCATATTTCAAATTATGTTTTCATTCTGCATTTAAAGTCATCTTTCTAAACCAGATCTGATCACATTGCTTTGCTAGGTAGAACCCTTCAATGGCTCTCCATTGCTCTAAGGATAAAAACAGGGAAAGCTCTTCAGGATCTGAACCCTCCTTACATTCTGAAACTCGCTTCTCCCCTACTTCCTGCATATCCTCATGCTGCACCCTTGTCATCAAGGGCTCCTTCTGAATCTCTAGATGTGCTTCTAGGCTAAATGTTTCTCCTATAAAAAAATTCATGCATAATTGTTTTCATTATTGCTCTTCTTTGTCGGCTTTGTTCTTTCCTAGTGGAAATAGTTTTGTGGGTATATGAGATCTATTTGATTTTCTCTTCAGAGAATTCCTCTTCTATAACTCTTTATGTATATTTTAAAACTAATTGTTTTTTTTAATCAGTTCTAGGATTTCAGAAAAAATCGAGAGAAAAGTAGAGTTCACACTCCACCCAATTACCCCAATTATGAACATCTTGAGTTGGTGGGCTCATTTGTTACAATCGGTGAGCCAACATCAACACATTAACTAAAGTCTATAGTTGAGGGTTCACTCTCAGTGGTGTCTATTCTATAGATGTTGGTAAATGTGTAATGACATATAATTCACCATTACAGAAACCTGCAGAATAACAGATTCATTTCCCTAAAAATCCTCTGTGTTCTACTTATTCGTTCTTTCCTTGTACTCCCACAACATTTGGCAACTTAGACTTTTTCATTGTCTCTATAGTTTTACCTTTTCTAGAATGTCATATGGTTGGGATTATACAGTATGTTGCCTCTTCAGATTGGCTTCTTTCACTTAGTTATATGTATTTAAGGCTCCTCCATGTCTTTCATGGTTTCATAGCTCATTTCTTTTTAGTGCTGAATAATATTCCATTGTACATTCCATGAACCAGTTTACCTGTCTGTTCACCTGCTGAAGGACATCCTGGTTGCTTCCAAGTTTTGGAAATTATGGATAAAGCTTCTATAAATACCTGTGAGCTGGTTTTTATGTGGACATAAATTTCCAACTTGGTTATAAGCAGCAATGAGCACAACTGCTGTATCATCTGGCAAGAATATATTTAGTTTTATAAGAAACCACCAAACTGTCTTCCAAAGTGGTTCTACCATTTTGCATCCCACCAGCAGTAAGAGTTCCTGTTGCTCCTCATCCTCACCAGCACTTGAAGTTGTCAGTGCTCTGGATTTTGGCCATTCTAGTAGGTGTGTAGTGGCCTCTCACTGTTTTAATACATCTCCCTAGTGACGTACGATGTTGAACATCTTTTCTTGTGCTGATTTGCTATCCCTCTTTCATCTCTAGCAAGGTGTCTGTCCAGATATTTTGCCCATTTTTAATCAGTTGTTTTCTGACTTCTCAATTTTAATAGTTCTTTATACATTCTGGATACTAGTCCTTTGTCTGATACACGTTTTGCAAAGATTTTATCCTAGTCTGTGGTTTGTCCGCTACTTCTCTTAACAGTGTCTTGTTTTTGCAGAGCGGAAGCTTTTAAATGGTGTTGTATTTAAGAAGTTATCATCGACCCCCGAGGACACCCACCTTTTCTTCTATGTTATCTTCTAGGAGTTCTGTAGTTGAGCATTTTAGTTGTAGGTCTACGATCCATTCTGAGTTAGTTTTCGTGAAAGGTGTGAAGTCTGTGGCTAGATTCATTTTTTTCATGTGGATGTCTGGTTGTGTCATCACCATTTCTTATATTTTTTTCAGGTAATTTTTTTCAGTTTATCCTATCTATGAGTTCTAGAACTTGTTGAACTTTTTCTTTAAGTCTCTGCTATAATTTTCTGTACTCTCCCATCTTCTGTTCCCTGTTTCCATTGACTTTATGGATCATTTATAATTCACAATTTGCTTTTTATCTGATTCTTTCCTTATCTCAGATTATTTTTGGTGAGTAAACAATGACTTCTCCAACATACTTTGATTTTTTTAATTTAAATATTTATATACAAATTGAGTGAGCATACATCCTGCTCAAAGAGAGTCTGTTTACACCTGTTGTCCTCCCATTGTTATTAACAGGTAAATATAAACTATTTAATGTTCAAAAGTGTTCCAGTTTGAACAATAAACTATATGGCCACTTTCGATACAAAACTTAGTTATATTTCTCCAAGATTCAGCTAAGCCTTGTTTTCACTTTGTGTCTCTTCAGAGTTTTCATGGCTGAAAGAGATGAACTGGCACCCTTTATTTTTCTGCCCTGTGCCCCATGCACACAGCTCAGCTCACTCCTCGCTTGATGGCATGTAACCCTCACAACAACGCTACGAGGCAACATTCTCACCCCCGCTCTACAGGGAGGAAGCCGAGGCCCAGTGACTTGGGACGTGAGCAGCCGAGCGTTCTGGGCTTTCCTTAACTTTCCTCGCTACGGAAAAGGCAGGAGAGGGGAGACAGGAGAGGGGAGCTGCTTTATTTGCTGGTCTGTTTTACGGGGAGAAAGGAGGGAAGCCCTTTGACCGGGCTGCTATCCGACAAAGGTGGCTCCTTCTCGAGGCTCCCTGGAGGGATCTTTCCACGTGCAGAACATCCGAGGTGGGAGTGGGGGTGGATAATGACGGGGGCAGCAGCAGATTCCCCTGTTTAAGAGGCTGAGGTGGACTCCTTTTGTGGACCCAGTGGCCCGGCTATAAAAAGAGAGTCTGGGCCTCCAGAAATCCAACCCACCTCAAAGCGCACCCCCACCCACCACGATTGCACTCCTGACTTGGAGAGCTGCCTGCATGGCCTTTGTCAGGCCTGTGACGTGGTGCAGGAAGACTACAAAGGCCAAAACCTTGACCAATCCAGATAGACTGACTGCTCTGGACACACTGACAGCCCAGACTTCTTAAACATTCAACAGACTGAGAGGCTGGACACAATGACCAGCCCAGGTGCACGGACCTCACTGGTGATGTGGCCCAGCCAGACATATTCTAAACCTGGTGATGATCCAAACTGACTACTCCAGGGAGCAATCACCCTGACACATGGAGTCCTCTAGACACACAGCCGGCCCGACACATGGGCCACTTCACACACTCAGAGAATGGCATGCCACCATCCCAGACCCACTGGCATTACAGTTTCTGCCAGCAACCTGAGATCCACAACCACCTCCTGGTGCCATGAGAGGCCCCACCCACCGGAACTAGGGCGGGGAAGATGGGGAAGGAGGCCGACCTGAGAGTCCCTGGAGTTCCTGGCAAAGCAGCATCTTCGATCTTCTAGCCATGCAAGACCCTGCTACTGAAAGAGTGGTCCCCACGCCAGGAACCTTGGCATCACCTAGAAGTCTGTTAGAAGTGCAGAAACTCGGACCCCACACCAGGCCTACTAAATCAAAATCTGCATTTGATAAATTTCCCAGGCAGCTCGTATGCACTCAAAGAATGAGGAACACAAATACAAACACTTAAATATGCTTCCAGAAGTCGGAGCTGGGCATGATTTTTATGGGAATATTGTAGCTAAGGGACAAGGGGGCATCCACTCTTCACACTGGCAGGTGTTGTTCTGCAGGTAATATGACTCGGGTGGTGATGATTTATAAGTATATGTGTTTTGAAAGCTTTATTTTCTTAATCTTTTAAAAAATGGTCATAGGATATCTACACACGTCTTTGACCCTAGTCCAGTGCCAAAATGGATTGATAAAAATTAAATGTGCTTCTGAGTCTGTTACGGGAGTAAATTTTTGGCAGAATCTGCCCATTCCCCTCAAAATCTGAACAGGGAGGGAGGTTCTCATTCCTCTCTCACTGGACTCATTCATTGTAATTCCTGTAAGACCAGGATTGCTAACTATGTTTACAATAAAATAAATGAAAAATAAATGAAATGTTTCCCAAGTTTATGCACAACTACTAAGAGCTGTTGGGATGGCTTCGGTTTCCACGTGCACCTCGCTCCTCGCAGGCACTGCCCATTTCCGTGAGGAAATGTCTGGGCGACTGCTGGCTTTGGTTCTGACCACTGACTGTACGTGTGCTGATTTTTCTGTTTGCTCCTCCTGACACACGGAGGATCTGTGTTTATCCTGCACTGAAAGTTGAGACGGATTCTGTCGGAGTTGTCTGTGCGCCCTTCAAACTTCTCAGTCCCAGATGAAGGGAGAAGAGAGCTGTATCCTTTTCCTTTTCCAGATTAGAAGTTCAACTGCCCTGAAGGGCCAAGACACCAGCAATCACCCCTCATCAGCCACCCCCTTTGACACTCATGTTCACGCAACAGGCAGGAGACGCTAGGCCGTTTGCCTCAGAGAGCTGATGCGTTAGGAAAAACGGAAGCTGTTTCTGGGTATTGAGCTTCAAATGTCCATATTCTACAGATATAGATTTGGGGAAGTTTTTTTCCCTGTGATCAGAGAAGCAATGAGATCTTAGGTGAGAGACGCCAATTCCACCTCTCACTTCCCCCCACGTTCCACCCAGAGGAGGAGGGGTTTTCTTTGCACGAAGTTACTTTTGCTCCCAAGCAGCAAGCCTGTGTGACTGCACTGATGCACAGGGCACGGCGCTTGCTACTCGGACCACACGGGTGAGGTGCCCTTTTCTGATTTGCACAGAGGCAGCATATGTGCTCACAGAGACCTGGTGGGGTTTAAGGGGGCGTCCTGAGAAGGGAAGGGATCCCCTTTCCTGCCTTTAAATGAGGCCAAGGCAGATACAGAGAGCAGGTAGGTTGTATGGTATGGGCTGTACTCCCTCCATAGACTCCTACAGAGCCATGAAGACCCTAGAGAAGGAACTGTTGGGGCCGTACCTGAGCAGAGGGGACCTTACCTCATGCTGTTTCTTGT